GAAATATTTTAAAAATAGATCGACAACTAAAGATTCACAGTATTATTGTTATGCCTATATCTGAGTGCTCATCAATGATATAATATCCCTAATTTCTTCTTAATAACAAATGCGCCATTAGATTCTCTATCAATCTCTTTAAATAAGAATGTAAAATGCTATATTATTCATAAGTTAGACATTAAAACTAAAAATAGTACGATGTCCAATATTCATCGAATTTAGTGTTAGTTTAAAAGTAGTCTAAAAGTGAAGTCACATGTCTCTCGTTAAGATTTAACCTCGATCTCACTTCATGACGGTGTGGGTGAGGGTGTCGGTGTAATTGGTCCCTAAAGTGAAATCATAGCACTCCTCACATCGACACCCACACCCTCAAGATTTGTACCCATGTCGCACAAGCCGATATAACCCACCGGTTAACCTCGCTTATGTGAGCCTTTTTAGCGACATTACAGTGTAAAAGTCGACGGTTAGCCGTGGTTAAGCACCAGATTAATCGGACAAATACCAGTTAGCTGAGAGCTAACCGACTGCTTGTCCGGTTAACCGGGCGCTTAATCACAGCTCACCGTCGGTTTTTACACTTCAGGGTGTGTGTGGGTATGGTTATGTATTGATTGCTGTACAGCCAAACTCGCACCCATACCATCGGAGTTTCTGAAACCACGCTAAATGTATGATTCCTATGGTTGATTTTACTTGGAGTAGTTTGCTTTCTAATATTCTCGACATTTCTAAAATGTAATAAGTAAATTGATATGATTTTGATTAGCATCAACAACAATGTCCCCGACTTCTACAACGACCAGTAAGTTTATAAGTACGAAATATAAATAACTTTTACGTTCCTATGTGATTAGCCACTCCAACTACTTCAATCCTTCCAGTACAATGTTCCAGTTATACAACAATTTCGGATGCAACTCGACGTATTGCCTATACGGGTACCAGGACATGCGATTTGTCGTCATTTGGTACAACAGGTACTTGGGTTCGTTTCATGAGTCCAGCTGGCGCCACCATGCCAACCTCAGCTCCTAGTACTTCCACGTGTGGCACCGATGAAGTACTACGACTGGTACGGTTTGCTATAATTGGTCTGGAAATACATGCAATTGGTCGAATTCGATTCAAATTACGGATTGTAGTACTTTCTATGTGTTTAAACTTATCAATACGCCAGAGTGCTATCTACGATATTGTACTGTGTAATGGTATATTTTCGAGAAATATCAAACACTCTTATGATACTAACCTTTGTATATACTATATCAAAATTTATATTTTGACTTCTCAGAATTTTTCTATTAACCAAATCTAATTAATAAATGATTTTTAATGGACTACACATCAAATTCGTTGTTTTTCAGTACGATCAATTACTCTGCGG